AGAAAATGGGCTAAAAGTGTTAAAAACCGGAATTCTCCTTTAAGGTGTAATAAACTCCCACATCATCAGTGATAATTATCCTAACAGGACACACCTGCAGTCAACAATTGTTTACGATTTTGAGAGAACTTCACCATTGAAATTCACCAGAGCCATAGTTAAACTAGGGTTGTCACGATACTAAAATTTTCAACTCGATACTGATATTCCGGAAAATATTCAATGCTTTTTTTTTCGATACCACAAGGATAAAAAAAAATTCCCCAAAATTTAACATAAATGTTTTTATTAATAAAAAAATAAAATAAAAAAACAATAAATACAATAAAGCAGAACAATATTTTGAGGCTGTATGATGTGCACAATATTAAGCAAGCTTGATAAAAAAATAAAAATAAAGTGTTAAAAGTGTTCCTTCCTTGACTATGCTTTACACACATAACAATAACACTAGCCAAACCAGTTAACGAACAAAAATAATTCCGGGTATGCTGTATTCCAGGAGGGAAGAGCAAACCTTGGGTTTAGCTGCTTAATAAATTTTTGGAACCCAGGTTTCTTCACAGTTAAATGGGAACCTGATCTGATGTTGGTCAAACATGGATGGTAGAATCGGCTGTGTTTGATGGTGTTTGGACCCAGGTCTATTTTTTTCTGCTTCATTCTATGACTTAAACAGAGAAAATAACGCTTTTCAGTGGTATGGATACTTTTGAAAATGAGTATCGTATCCGGATACGTTTTAGTTTCGATACTTTTTTGAGTAACGATACTTTTGACAACCCTAAGTTAAACTGACGATGCCCACGTGCATGGTAGTTGGATGTTGGAATACATCGGGTAACAGTGGAGAAAAAAAAGATTTATTCCACCTTTGTGATTCCTGATCCTCCACGGACGGGTTCGTCTTTGGATTGCCAACTTGAAGAGGGAGGATTTTCCATCAAACTTCTGGCCAGAGAAAAAACACGTAATATGTAGCCAACATTTGGAAGAAGAATGTTTTTGAGATGACTTGGATAATAGCGTGTTGCTCAGTGGCGTTGAGGGTAGCACTGCTGCTTGCAGCAAGAAGGTTGCGGGTTCTCCCTGAGCATGTGTGGATTCTCTCCGGGTACTCTAGCTTCCTAGCCTGGTGAGACCATCCTGATCTTGTGAGCTTTCAAGGTTTCACTCGCAGATCAGTCTGGAGACTCTCCGTTAAAGAAAATTTGGAGCCGTTCACCAAACGAACGTCCAATCAGCGTTGGCTTTGAGGCGGGTT